TTTAAAAAATCGATGAAAATTCCAACAATGAAGTGTTTCTTAAGTGTAATATGTTATGATTTAATTTTGTCTATCTGTCTGCTTACAGCGGATACGTTTTTGTCAAAGGTACTTGGAACAGGACACTTTTTTTTAGCCCGACCCCTTTTTCCTAAAATTTGTTATTTTTTGTTTTCTGTTAATTTCAATTATTTTCGCATTTTTTTTTGTATTACATGAACATAAATATACTAGAAATAACTTGTATTTGCTATTATCTATCAATTCCAAGTTTTTACTTTAGAACTGATATAAAATTGCAAATACACGTTATTTCTAGTAAATTTATGTTCATATGATATAGAAAAACGCGAGAAAAAAATGAAATTATAAGAAAACCAAAAAAATAACAAATTACAGAAAAAAGGGGGAGAGCTAAAACAAAAGTGTCCTGTTCCCAAGTACCAAGGGTTTTTGTTAGAACAGTGTTAGACAAGTGACCATCATAACACACATTAAAAAAAAAATATTTAAAAACAAGATGTTTTTGTGCGTAAAAATTTTTTTGCTTTAAAGGTTCAAACAATTTTTTCACATTTCCGGGACAAATATTCTTTCGTGTATCTTTTGTTTTAAAAACTAGCCATTTATAACGTCGTTTTCTTTAACAGTGATGCCGCATTTATCATTAAAGCCCTTTATTATTAAAGCTGTATATATCAATACAATGACTGTCACATAATTTGCTTTAGTAAATGTTTATTAAAGTTAAAATAACCGAATCAAAATAAAACTTTCGTAATTGTATACATTTGTATATCAAGTCGAGAATTGTTGCAAATGTAACTAATATTAGTTTTATGGCAGTTACCTCAGCTAATAGCTAGATGATGTGTCTGCACGTCTGCTTAAATAGAATTGTTTGCATAAAACGGCCAAAAGAAAACCAAAGGCGAATGTTTTGAAAATGAAATTGCACAAAGCAAGACATCATTAACCAAATTGGATCTATTGTTTGTACCCAAAAGATACATAGCTTTAATACTCATTTTATGTTTGGTTAACGATGTTCCTGTATATTTTTTTCTTAAGTTTTCATATCTTCATAGGTTTCAATCACTGCCTGATTTCGAAACCAACGGTGTGCAAAAATACAGGATAAAATGGTCAATTAATTCGTTTTGCAACTAAATTCAAATTAACAATACTGATATTTGAAATCTGGACAAATCAATTATATATAGTGAATGAAAGTATAAATTTATCTACTTCATTGATATAAGATGTGATGACGCATTCCTGGTAATTGAATCTGCTCAGAAAATAATTCCCCACAAAGATAAAAAGAAACGAAATCTCTTTTACAACTTGTCCTGTATGCTTAGAAATAGTTTAATCTATCAGATTAAAGAAAAATGAAAGCGCCTCTGAGTCGGACAATTGACATATAGATATACTTTGTCTTATATTATGGTGAAATACAGCTTCTATCAATTAATGAATTAATAAAAAAGCATTTAAGGTTAAACATCTTAAAACAATTTCTTTAAGTTATCTTTGAAAAGTAAATGATAACATATGTACAGGTGTTAGTTATCCTTATTCTTTTGTGATCTATATTTTGTCGGTTAGCTGTTCTTTTTTCCGTTTTAATAATTATGAACTTTCAGTTCTTAGTTAAATAAAAAAATAAATAAATTGATTAATGATTTTTGAAACAATGTTTAAAAATAAAGAAGTCATATCATATAACTGAATTAATTAAAAGCAATAACACTTCAAGCCGATTTTTTTAACAGTAATTTTCTATTTTCAGTAAAACCACTTTTCTTTATGTTACCATGGTTACCACGCTTCTTTTTTCTCTTCATGAACACATGTTTTATCATCGTCTCTGATTATTGTTGTGCACACATATGTTCATTATTTTCAAAATTAGCAAAACATTTAAAAGAAAATGGAGACCAATCATTCGCGCTTTTACCATATTGTCTTAATAAACTGTTGCAAAATCAATAGTTGTACAATATGTATCAATCAGTCATGCAATTGATCTTTCGATGAGTAACTAGAAATAATAATTTTTATTTGTCAATTTCAAATCAAAACGGAGGCAAAAGCCGCTAATCGGATTTTCGTTTACGCGTGTTCTTTATCTATGATTATTGTTAAATTGAAACTATGGCCACAATTGAAAATGTTCTTCATTTTTACCATATATTTCATTAAAATTGTGATGTTATCCGTTATTTTGAATTATATTTATGTCACTGATTGTGACCAAACTGATCACATTGGTTTATAGTAAATTAATCTCCTGTTAAATCTTAACATTTCCATCTGTTCCAATGGGACCATTTAAAAGCTCTGCTCCGAAAGAAGAAACAAAAGTTTCACATTTTTAGCTATTATACTATAGTTTTGAATTACCAAAAATATTACTCATTCACTTAAAATCTAATTTATTTCATCGTGTATCTAAAATTTCACCTGATAGACCTTTCATAACATTTTTTTGATACTAGTATATAATATATATGAATCGACGATTTGCCGATGGGAAATATGATATCGTAACAAAAAATCTAAAAATGAGTACACAAATATCATACTTTATATACGAAATGTACTATATGAATTTTTTAAAGCACTTTAACCTTTACAAATTTGTATTGCGTTTTGGATAATAAGTACTATAATGATTAATTATGGATAAGGAAAAATTATTATGTCCTATCTAATCAGCATATCTTATATGATATTTTCACCAAAACAGTATTTTTAAGCTGAGTTTTCAACTTTTATTTCTCAGTTTACAACTGAATTATTTTATTTAAAATTGAGAATGGAAATGGGGAATATGTCAAAGAGACAACAACCCGACCAAAGAGCAGACAACAGCCGAAGACCACCAATGGGTCTTCAACGCAGCAAGAAAATCCCGCACACGGAGGTGGTCCTCAGCTTGCCCCTAAATAAAATTGTGTACTAGTTCAGTGAAAATGGACGTCACACTTAACTCCAAAACATTTAAATGAACTAAAATTTAAAAAACATACAAGACTAACAAAGGCCAGAGGCTCCGGACTTGGGACAGGCGCAAAATTGTTGATTATATATTAATCGGCAGGTAAATTTTATATGTTGCTACAATCATGTCCTGTTGTTCGGAGAGCCTTAAGTGCCATATACATATACAATTTTCGTTCGCCCGAGATTTAATCTGGTGCACATCAGTTTGAAAAATCGTGCGCACCACTTTGAAACTAGTGCGCATGAAAAGTCGTGTGTACCATTTATGAAAGTCGTTCGCATTATTTTAAAAGTCCTACACACCATTTTTGAAAGTTTCGCACCAGTTTTTGAAATGACATGCGCATTAGTTTCGAATTCTTGCGCACGATTTTTGAATTTCGTGCGCACCAGTTTTAAAAATCCAATGATTTGTATTTTAACAACTAAAGTTTCACGTGTCGGTTGTAAATTGCAGGACACAAACAATATATGTACATTGTCGGAAAATATAAAATGTATTTGTACTCGCTGCGAAACAGGAGAAAAGCTCGGAGAGCCTCGCTTTTCGTCCTGTTTCTAAAGCTCGTACACATACATCTTATATTTTCCGACCATGTACATACATTGTATATAATATATGTTATGCTTTAAATCTGTTATATACACCACTTCTATACATCGGTGAATGTCATAAATTTATGTGTTTTTTTAGGTTCATATATATTCTGAATGACGGATTGATTTAATAGTCTTTTGGTTTTTTAAAAATGATGAACTTCATTGAGTTTTGTAATTCATGTATTTAAATGGTTTAGTTATAATTGTTATTTTTAGATTGACACTTTAACAAAGAAGTCATCTAAATGAAAAGGCAACTGGTAAAAGTGCAAGAAAAACAAATTAATGTTGAAAAGAAAATGGATATTATGATTCAAATACTACAATAAAAAACAAATGAACGAAAAAAGGGAAGCCAAAAGATTAACGTCCCTGCACAAATTGCAGTAAGTAATTATTCATTGTTCAACTTTTAATTAACCTTTTCAAAATATTGCATATTGTACATGAAGTAGGGGATAGTTTATACAATTTTCATTTTTATGTATTGTATCATAACAATATTCACTAAGTTTGCGAACCTAAAAATTCAATACTTAGCAAAATGTCATTTATTTCCTTTTTTCACGGATTACAATTTTTTTTTCGGACTATGTACAAAGAAGTAATTGTGGTCGGCACAAGATTCGAATACATATTGCACACTTACATTTTGTGTTATAATTGTATAAATATTGCAAAATTTTAGACACTTTGATTACATGTTGTCGTGTTTTAATTAGAACGTAATGAAGTCGTGAAGTTAAGAATGTACATGTATATATATTTTATGTTTGCGACTTTCTACACATATAATTATATAACTTCAGTTCTCAGTTGTTCTTGATGCATGCAATTTAAATGCTTAAGAGCGTATCTTTTTCCTTTCAGCAATCAAGAAGGGATGGTTATCAGCAGGGTATTACTGAAAAGGATTTCATCTGGAGAATAAAGAACGAAACTGGCAGTATTGTAAAGTATGTATATGAAATTAAATGTTTTAAAAGTTTCCTTGGAAATTGAAAAAATCTCATGGTTTGTTATTCAAACCAATGTAATTTAATATGTAATGTATGTCCACATTCATCATTAAACGATACGGTTTTTAGGGAAAATGCTCGATTACTTGTGATTTACGACATTGAAACAGATTTAATTTTGATCATATATCTACTTTGAATTATTAATTATGAAATTCTACTTATTCGAGTATAAATCTTAATTTTGTACACAGCTTTTGGGTCAATTTAAGTGAAAAGTTTGCAAGATATATATGTGTATTTGGTAATCATAGTTCTATTCAGATTCAAACAACATTTTAGCACAAATTGATAATTTTACCGACATTTGTTACACTCTTATTTAAGGAAGCTTTGATTTACAGTTAAGACTATTTTTCAAATTACTTTTTTTTAGATATAATTCTGCAGAGAACAAAGAGAAGTCTGGATTCATCATAGAATTTGTAAAAGGCCCAATATCCTGATGAAGTGGAGGGTGTTGTTAGAGGTTTGTAGCCCCCAACCCCCCAACCCCCAAACACAAAATAGTCGAAATTGTAGTTCTGCAATACAATTGCTTAGCCTAGAAGGCATGTTTAACTGTCATATTAAGAATGACATCTAAAAAGTTAAAAGTAGTCAAAGTCAGTTGATACTTTTTTTTATTTTTGAAAGGAGTGTTACGTTACTGAATAAATCCTAGCTTATGTTAACATTACATTGATTCTGTCGGCTATTTTTTTACAAGAGTGTATTTTTTTTGTGCTGTTTTAGGGAGCAACCATTTAACTTAAAGGGGGGGGAGGGGGTATGGTTTTTTGTCTGAGTCAGATTTTTTTTTTTCGCCCAAAGCGCGAACATTTTTTTTTTCGCAAAATTTAACACTATAAGGTATGGGGGAAATCTGGATTCAGAATATTTTTTTTAGGAAATAACCATACCCCCACCCCCTCTTTGAAATCACATGGTCGATCCCTTGTTGCTACACACCTGTATCTTACCTCTTTTTATTTCGAAACATGACGTTCCAAATTACCATTGAATTTACTTCATATGATTTCGGACCAAGTGTTGAAATGAGTAATCCCATTACCAGGGGCCTGTTTTTCGAAAGTATCTTATGACTTAGACATGTCTTATGATGGTCTTAGGACATGTCATAGTCGTTAGATATGTTGTCGTAAGTGTCCTAAGTTACGATATATCATAACTTTTGTCGTAAACTTAAGACACTAGCTCGCGACATGACTTATGATGGTCTTATGATTATCAACTAGAATTCTAATTACTTTTCATGTATAATTTCATGTACAATGTACATTACAATAAAAATAATAGTTGTGTTTTTCAGTCGGCAAAATATTTAGATTTATTCTTCTCCATTTTGCATTCAAGCTTTTTGAATCTCCTGCGACGTAAAGTTTGGACTCCTTTTCTTACTCATGATTTTGAAAAATAAATATACATATTATTTCTTTCCTTATATATTACTTTATTTACGCATTTGCACGGGCATATAAGCAGACACTTTCAGTAATATTTTGAAACGCCATATAATTTCCATATTATAAATAAGTTTTATGTTAATGGATCACATACTAGCAAATGCATACTATCATATAACTTTAATAGATATATTTTGATTTCGATCATATCACATCAAAACATTCTACCATGGACTAACCAAGTGACACTGTTTAGTCTCAAATGGAGACAAGCAATTGTATGTTAAAAAAAATATTTCTTTTAAATTGCCTTAAGTAGATTTTTTTTTGTAGAAGGGATAAAGACAAATTTTGAATCGTTCAAAGCAAAGAAACGAAGAGACGAAACTGGTAAACAAGAAGAACATAACAAGAAAATGGCTGTGTACAGCAAGATGAGAAGAGTAAGAACTGATTTTTTTATTATGGTGAACAATTCAGATATTACAGTCAACATAAGAAGCGGATTTAGACGGGAGTTTTATTTAATATTATATACTTATATCACTCTAAACAGGGAACCCCCTTTTAACTTCATTTTCTTTTTGCTTTTCACTAAATTCCTTTTGTGACGCTACAATAAAAAAAGGAAAAAGGTGACCATATCTAACGACGTCACATATATATATATATACCTCATTTTGCAGATCAGTGAAAAAGTTTGTCTACGTAACGTCTAAACATCAAAATAGAAACAGAGTCCAACACCGAATCTCGTGCAATATAATATTTCTCCACTATTGAATTTTCAATACTCAAAAAGCTCGGCAGGCCTTCACTTGATGTAGCGGTAGAATTTCTCTCTCCCTTTCTCGCCGGTCGGGCTTTTCAAGAGAGAGAGAGAGAGAGAGAGAGAGAGAGAGAGAGAGAGAGAGAGAGAGAGAGAGAAATTAAATGCTAGGAATTGAGTGTTCTGTTGGATTATATTATATTCATAAATAATATACAGCATGCTTTCTGTCACAGTAATCACTAGTATTGTTTTTACAGACTGCTTTTTGCTGAGGTTATAATAATAATAATAATAAAAATAATAATAATAATAATGATAACAATATCTTTATTGAAAGAGAGTTATTACGGCATATATGGAATCTATTTGTATGTATTCAAAATGAAATTCAAGGGATTTTGATTTGAGCTTTATTCTCTTTTTTTTTAGAAATTAAACAACAGAAAAAAGGCCCTAAAAGTAAAAGTCCAGTATACCAGAGGAACAAAAAGAAAAGGGCTCGAAAAGCCTTGTGGTGCAGAACATGTCTTATGAACAAACAGATTCATAAGACGAAGGATCGTTTATCGTCAGACCTCTGCCTTGGAGGTCTGACGATGTTGATAAATTAGTAAAAAAAACTAGACCAAAAACATGATGGTCAACTAACCAAGAGAAGGAGACGACAGCAACATAAACGAAAGGTTGGGGCAGTTTCCTCAAGGATAAAACCAGAAGTCGTGCCGGGACATGAATGGGTGTTTAAATAGTTTAAAAATAATGTCAATGATTTAACTTTATTCGTTTTAAGTATACAAGTTTTACCGACCAAAGTAAATGCTACATGTAATTGTTAATAATTTTTACACAATTATTTGTCCCAAACTAAAAAAACCTGATATATCGTTCTATTCTTATATTAACATATTTCAGTCATCACGAAATCAAATAGATGCGAACAGAAAGAGAAAAAATACATCTTCATGTCGGATGTCAACATACCGTCTTCAACAACAACAAGCGGTTAGAAGGAGAAAGTTTTTGATAAAAAATAGTAAAGAAAAGTGCTTCTTGAAACAACAGTATTGTCGTAATGGGCAAAACTATTTAAAAATAACACGAACAATGTACATTTCATTGGCAAAACAAAATATAATAACTTTTTTGATTTGTAACCTAGCATCACGGAAAATAAATGTTAAAAAAATATTTTTTTATAGAATCTTCATTTTTAGATGGAAAATCTTGTTTTCTTTAAATATGGAAGTGATACCGAGAAAATAAGCAGTGTATTATTTGCACATAGTAGTAAAAAAAGAAAGAAGACAAAATGGTAATTCTTCGAAATAGTAAGAAACTTGGTATATATTAAATTTCAATGTTTTAAATATTCTTTTGTGCGTAATTATACAATATAAACAAGAAAAAGCTAGATAGCAGTAAATTTTATCTGGTACCCTGATGTAAGCAATCATACAATGCACGTATACAACAGTTGGTTTTACATTTAAAATTCTTGTTTTAGTGGTGAAGCTCTTCATTGTGTATTTGTTATATTATATTGATGTCCATGAGCATAATCAAATATATATTTTGATATTGATTACACTGATAAAACATATAGACATTTAACTGGGATCTTATATGTGAATCTTTTTTTTTCAATTGATTAAAAACAGTAAGCAATGAAAGGGAAACAACTCTTGTTAAAATAGGAATATTTTTCGTATCTTTAAAAATTGAAGAAATTTGTTTTTTTTTTTTAGCTTAAAGGTTTACACGTTTATAATTATTAACATTCTTATACAAAATAAGTATTAAGATCTTGATTTTTTTATTTTAATAAGAAAGGGGTTGTATATAATTGGGTGCTTGTTAAACCCTCCAAATTACGTTGGATTTTATTATTCAGCTCGAATCTTTGTATTCAAAGGGAAATAACTCTTTCTATTAAAATAGTTGTTAGTCGTAATTAGGTAAGACAATCAAAACAACCACAACAAAAAGGATTCTGCAAATATGTTACTGCTTATTATATTTAAATACTCAGTCCTTTTACATCATGAAGTTGATATGTTTTTGTTCCTTAAAAACAGCTTTAGCAAAAACAAACAAAAATGCACAAAATTAGAGTTTTATAATTTTGTTATGTATGTAGATGTTTTTTTTAAATTATTATAGAACGGAATGTTAGTACTTTAATTTGTCATGTATTTGTAAATTGAAAATAATGAATAAATTTAGCTAAGATTCTAGATAATTGTTTTTTTTTTATTCAGGATTTCGCCATAGTCTAGATCTCCATTACGGGCAGCTTTTTTTTTATGAATTTCCAGTTGCTCCTCTCACTGTAATATCTTATATTTTGAGGCAATCATGAGTGTTTAATTCGAATTATGGGTTGTGGCAACTTAGGGTGTACAATTATGGCTTTGTTTGTTATACTGAAGTATGTTTGTATAAACAAATATATCTTGCATTATAATAGGGTTAGTTTGTAAGAACTGTTACTGGTCATATGTGGATGAAAGCTGCAAATATATACTGTTTTCTGTCGTGAATTTGCAGGTCAATTGGCATATATTTGGTGCACCAAACACGGAGATTACAAAGATTTTTGATAGTAAATGGAGTCAAAATGAGTTTAAATTTGAAGTAAATCAAGTTATTTCACACATTAAATATTTAAACTTGAAGTTGAATTTGATTTCAATTTGCATTAAATGAAAGTTGATCGTTGTATTAAATTTGTAACTCGATGTTGAATCAGATTTAAAACCACAGTAAACAGCTTACCGTTTGGAATATTATTGACTTTAATTTGTAGTAAATCATGTTTTACAGATTTTCTCTACATTAAATTTGATGTTGTATGTATATTAAACTTTGTTAAATTCGAAAATTACTGGACAGTAAATCAGGTGTCAATTCATGAACTTACTGCGTCCAGTAAACTATTTGTAAACTACTATTAAACATTACGTTTACTTGAACTATAAACTACCAGAAAAAAAATAAACTCGGAAATTACGACTGATTTTTAAGTAGTTTATTGATACCTTAAATTAATACTTTCATGCAGTGTAACTGCCTGATTTATGTACAAAACAATAAAAGAAACACTAGTATATTCGTGACAAAAAGTCTCTTTTAATGTCATCAACTTTGACAATGTACCAGTCTTTCTTACCAGATAACATTAGTAAGGCCTACTGTAATTCCTCTAAACTCAAGGCTGAACTTGAGAAACACTGCAGGGATGTCATAGTGTTTTGTTTTTTCTCAACAAGGACAAGGTAAATCGAGCATTGTATTTGCAAACGACGTTTTGGAGACGTCGTTAAAACCGCGAATAACATCAAAGCAGAATTAGAAACTCAGGAAATAAAAGCTGATTTAAGTAGCTCCACCATACCCATTGAACAAACCGGTAAGCATGTACTTTAAACAGCCGCCCCAATATTGTGACAGAAAATAAAAAAATGTTTATATTTCTGGAGATTATCACATGAGTATCTTGCAAATGATGAAGTATCGTTGAAAATGACAGAAGCAACTATCCTACTCTGTTTAAAGAGTTATATAACTTGGCTTCTTGATAAAGTCTTTTAATACATTTTCTTCAGTAGCAATCGATATTTCACAAGACATTCATAGAAAACGTGATGCTGTCGCAGAATACATGCTTGGTGGCAAATAATAATAATATAATTACTCCATTTAGTCTAGGTCTTGAAGTAAGCTGTACCATGGGTTTAAATCGAAATCTTTGACGCAGAAACAATATGTATTTAAGTATGACAAGGAGCAGAGGATTTTGACGAGTGTAAATAACAAAAATACAAGATGGTTGTTGTCTTCTGTTTGGTATATATAATTGTGGTTACAAGGTGTTGACAATATTAACTTTAAAATCGAAGCGATTGACGGTCAAAACACATTTCACTCAAAGGTGCATGGTTTTTTTTTTAAATCCCGTTCTACCTGGAACGTTCGGCTTTGGTATCTGACAACGGTTTGAACGAAAACAGGACAAATCAGTGGTATATGACGAAAACGCGTCATCACTGATGCAGTACTTACCCTTTACATAACCGAAAATAAGGGGGAAACCGTCACGACGTCAAAATGCATTCGAATTTGAAACTTAAACACGTCACATACAGATCCAATTGGCCAGACTCCTGACAACAAAAGTATCGAGTTTATCTAAATTTGCACATCTAAGATCGGTGATATAGGTGTTTACATATAGGACTATAAAATTTGATTTTCAGGGCCAATATAACGCCCCCGTAGCCTTTTTGATCGCTTTGTGGTTTCCAGACACTGTCTTGTTTAAATGTTGCAGTTGGGAAATGATGGTTGGAGTCCGGTCTGAAAGACTTTCGTGTTGATTTTGATGTATATGCAGGAGAAACAGTCGAGCAAATACTTATCGGCAAACAGGTTAACGGGACTGTTGGTGATTTGACCATTTTTTATGAAGCCTTAATACATGTTATGTTGTCCCCGTTTTTCCAATGACGTTTTCAGAGGATCGGTGGGTTGATATATCAATAACATTGTGATATGTCAAATCCTGAAAAACTGAGACGAAATTTAACATGCCCGCAAATGGTGTTAAATTTTCGCAATAATGTATTTCGAATACTCTTTCAATACTATGTATATCTTGTCTAGAAATGCTATTTATCGAGGTCAAAGAACAAGACCATTCTGTTACGCTTATTCATAATGCTTTGAAATTTCCATAAAATGTTTTATCTTTGAAAAAAATAAAATTAATGATACGTTATTATGATGTAACGTGCAAATATCATGTTTTTTTTATTCTGACGTCACGTGCAAATATGATTTTTTTTTCTTTCTGACGTCACATGCAAATATGATTTTTTTTTTATTTTGACGTCACGTGCAAATATAAAAAAAAATCCAAGTCGGAACTTAAGCATTGATATTATAATATTACTTGTATAATTTATTGAATGGATTGTTAATGTTGACAAAAATCAGTGGTTTTTTTTAGATGAAAATCGAATTTTTTAAGTGATGACCTTTGACATTGTTTTAAAGGCCTGATGGCACCAGCTTTTATATGATCTTATTTTTACGACACATAGTACACGATTTAAGCTTTCCAAAAAGCTATTAAAATGCCATGAGTTATGTAGGCAATTAAAATTTCTTAGATTGTCCTCTCCGGTGCTGTTCAATTACATTAGACAATAGCTTTTTATTGATGGAAGATGTTTTAATCTACCCCCGCCCTTCGTCTTCTATAGCTAACTCTGTCAGGACAACCTGTCTCGTTCCTTATTGAGTCAATAGAATTCCAATATATATTTTCTCTTGGTCTTTGTATTCAAAATGGCTCGAACCTTTTTTAACTATTGTTGCCTCCTATTGGTCTCTCATTATAGTAATTTGCAATTTAGGTAAGCTAGACAGATATTTCCTGTGAATTTTTACTTTAAAGCAACGAAGACTCGTGATTCAAATGATATTTATCTGTAAATTTAGTTTCTGAATTGTTTTCGTTCCAATGCTAAAGCTGCAATGCATACATGGTAAGCCAAAGAAGTCCTTATTTTTTAAGGTCATTTTGGTTTTAGTTCTCCAAATTTTTCAATTCGGTGTTCGTATCTTTTGGTCACAAATAATCCTATAAAGTTTGTTCCGCAGTCACGTGTTTTACACATTGTAATCATAACATTAGTTTTCACTTACTTACTCGAACAGATTTTTTCAAGTCTAAGTCTATTTTTGTAAAACATTATCAATATTTCAAAAATAGAATCGAGTTGTTCAATATGTTATGGCACAATAGTGTCAATAGTTTGCTGGATTTTCCACACATATTGAATCCTACAATATATACATACCTATCCATGGAATGTTGAATGGAAGCTTAACCGGCTTTCCCTGTCTCTCTTGCCACACTTTGTACAGTAGGAAAGCAGTCGCTGGTTTTATTATCAAGTTCACAATGCATATACTAATGTACAGGTCAGGAAGAATATTCAATAATTGATGTTACTTAATTCAAAGTTTAAATATTCATTCATTCAACTTTCAATTTATAGTTCTGTTATAATGTTAATTTAAAAGCAGCATTCAGGCAAGTCAAGTGGAATGATGTTCCGTATTAAAAACTGACTAAATAACTGGTGCGGGCCAGACCTTCATTTGAACCGTCTTACCTTTTTTTATTCTACATATTCCATCAACAATGCAGGGGTGGGGTGTCATATAAAGTCTTTCCCTGGCGCGCTGCTTAGTTTTGTTTTCAAGCCACAAAACCGGGTTCAACCCACCATTTTTTTCTTTAAAATGTTCTGTACCAAGTCAGGATAATGGCAATTGTTATCGTATAGTTTGTTTCTGTGTGTGATGCATTGTCGTTTGTTGTTTGTTCACTTCAGTGTTTCTGTTGTTTCATTGTCCAAATGTACTTATTTGCGTAATTCTCTGTCCGTAATGTTGTACTGTATTCATGTCATTTAAACCATTGTCGTGACGTCAGCCTATTCATTTACCGTGGATTCTTTTTCTAGAATCAACGCTTCCTAAATCTGTCGCTGAAATGGACTCACCAAACTATATTCAACTGTTTCAATTGTGTGTCTAATTTCATTAAGTTTGAATTGGCTAATTTACTGATTTCTGTTCACTAATGGAATTAATTTAAAAACTTACCTTTCATTTTTGTTATTATTATATGCCTTCACTGGGAATCGAACCCGTCCTTGAAATCTGTTATGTGTGACTGACATCAACATATCGACGAAACCTCTCGGCTACCAATCAGTTACAATTTAAATGTCTATTTTATATATATAAATGAACATATGATATACATCGGTACAACGGACACACAGGGCTTGTACCTTTATATATACATAATAGGCAATCCTATAGTATAAGTTGGTAGCCGCAAGTTTAGCATGGTTAAGATCAATGAGTTAAAGGTAAGGACTTGTCGGTTTAGGTTCGAATCCCTGTATTCTCTTTTTTTGTCCCTATTCCTTAGTTTTCCTGTTGTTTTTGTTTTTTGTTTCCTTGTTTTGTATGTTATTGTGGATATTTTTGTAATAATATCGAGTTTTACCGTTTCCTTCTGGACTATTATGGACTATTTCACATATTTGAAACGAAAATGATTACATTCTATTTGTCCATTTTTGTTTTATAAATATAATATGATTTCATCTGTTTTGCTACATAATTTTACAAATGTTTATTCGTAAATTCCTATTCGAGAAAATCGTGATGTGCCTAGAATTAGGCTTCTTGCTGGAAATGTCGGTAACATACCTATTAAATATACTTTATATATGCTCTTTGGTCGGGTTGTTGTCTCTTTGACACATTCCCCATTTCAATTCTCAATCTTATTAGAAATAAGTTCGAACATGCCTTATTTTGTAAAAACCGATAATATTCAGATGCCTGATAATATAAAGATCTTTAAAGGCAGACGTGTTGTGTTATGTTTGTATTTTTTTGACCAATTAATTATGATCTTAGATTTATTAATGCATCGTTGGACACGCTATCATGGTTATTTAAACTCACTTACAATACCTTCTAATTAAGAAAAGGCTTTAATTTTGAAAAGACATTAACACAATTAACACAATAGTTTAAGTTATAGATACAATGGATAAGCGTTGATTCATGAAAAACAAACCATTCGCCCTCCGGGCTCATGGTTTCTTTTTCAAGAATCAACGCTTATCCATTGTATCTATATAACGTAATGGTGTCATTTTAGTGATATATTTAACATTGCCATAAAAGTGCGAGGTTTGGCTAGCTACAAAACCAGGTTCAACCCACCATTTTTTTCTTAAAATGTCCTGTACCAAGTCAGGAAAATGGCCATTGTTATATTATAGTTCGTTTCTGTGTGTGTTACATTTTAATGTTGTGTTTCTGTTGTGTCGTAGTTCTCCTCTTATATTTGATGTGTTTCCATCAGTTTTAGTTTGTAACCCGGATTTGTTTTTTTCTCAATCGATTTATGAATTTCGAACAGCGGTATACTACTGTTGCCTTTATTTACAATGGTTATCCCTTTAGTAGCTTAAGGATGTACTTAGGTGAGGTTTTGGAATAAGTGTCAAATTTTCGGACTTCTTGGTGTTTTTCCATATTATAGAAGGTAAAATATTTTGCCCCATAACACCTTTTTATCTTTTAACATAAGACTTAATAGCTCATAAAAGGTCATTTGACAAAGTTTAAGCAGATTCTTGATTTTCCTCCTTTTGATTTGAGACCCAAATAATACCAATGTAAATATAAGGTAAAAGTCCGAGTCAGCCTTTTCCCGCCATATTTTATAAATCAAATATCTCGAAAAGGAGCTCCATGACCTATTAGTATTTTTAGCTTATTTTGATCCTTAACTAATACTTTTCCAGCTTAAAGTATCAATTTTGAATTTTTGATTTATTTAATTTTATCTTAGATCCCCGAAGTACATCCTTAAACCCTTTCTTTTATTGAGAGGCAATTGATTAATGAAAGAGCATAAATCATCTAAAACGATGTAAATCAAAGAAGTATTCCCTATTGAGACATGATGATTTGTCTATTTGTACAAAACTACGTAGGTATTAAATGATATTTAAATTGTTCAGTCGACATGCAGAACTTCTAGTTATAATATATAATTATTTGTAAAGACATGTAAATAACTACATGTATTGATAAAATGATATGAAACATTTTAAAATGAAACTATCAACAGCGGGTATATGGTACTCAATTGGGCAAAGTCGTTAAGTTGTATGCTAAACGCCGATTGCAATGACGGGAACGTATAATAATCAACTATTTTAACGTGGAGTTCATCTGAATATATCAAACTAGTCAATTATTATTAATACTAATTCAGTCGATCACATTAAAGGGCATAATCTTGTTTCACAGTATCGAATATCCTTACAACAGATGTCATTAACTAGCTTCTGATAGAGCGGCAGTAGTTGTTAAATTCAAGACCACCGAATTGACTCTTAAATTTGATATGTAACATTTATTCGAATTTAAACAGTTCCAAATGGAAAACAATAAACAATGCATGGAATCTTTATAAACTGACAAAATTTAGTGCGAATTTTATAACTAGACACGACCTGTTTACCTGCCGAGATAAGCCCGAAAATTACAGATGGTCATGTGATCCCGATATAATCAAATATAAATAGACAGACAGACAGATCGGCACGTACAATTGTACGATGATTATATTCCTAGATCTGTTTTACGAGTATTTCTTATCATAGATTCAGAAATATTGAAATCAGCGTTTTAAGAATGATTGTTTGCACTCTGATTTAATCAACGAGGTAGATCTTCCTACTTGCTCCCTAGTTTCACTTTTCAGTGTGACATTCTTTTCTTTTCCATTACTGAACATGCATAATTAGCACACACGCAAGTTTTATAAACATGAATGGCAAACAACAACTTTGATTAACATGTTCATCATGGTGACCGTCTTGTGTTTTGGTTTTGGGAAAAGGCAATTTTAATGATGATACTTAAAAGGTTTTCATTATGGAAGATATATAGAAGATTTAAAAAAAAAAAAAAACTCGTGACTAACAATAAGGATGTTTTTGGAAAATTGAAATTTTGACGGTGAGTAGGATGTAAGATTGTTTTTCTCGCAGAATGTTTTTTTTTTAAATTGTGCTAGTAAAAATAGCCTGGAATCATTTCGGCAAAAGGATACCCAAGACTAAATCTGTATATATTCTTCACGCTGTCTGAAAGAAAAAGATAATTTTAGAAATATAAACTTTTTTTTGTACGGACAAGCATTTATACATTTCATTGTAAAAGAACAGGTGCACATTTATTATTTTAAAATAGGAATGCATACTTGTATTTTCTTCGAAGATCTAAACATTTACAAGCCAAGGGAGCAGTGCAAGCACGTGCATTAATGAATACAGAGTAATTAATGTCATCTATCGAGATTGGCGTCACATGGCCCAAATTTGAGCATTTTACCTTGAAACTAAATAAAAATTTATTTTTGCCAAAATGCAGTACTGACAGTTAGCTTATAGGTAATTCAAATGAATAAAGGCGTACTAGTTTATGTATTATGTTTTAAGACAGAACGTGTTTATTCTCTTTAAAAAAAAACTTAATGTTCGATGCATGATTCGATAATCCCAGCTAAAGCGTTATACTTTTTTTGATATTTTCTATCTTAATTTCGGAATTTGTGAAAAAGCAAGAGCAAACTCTCCATTACATATATACTTACTAGGTTGGTTGGGTACCTCGTAGGTTGCATCTGCTATAGGTTGGTATATACCAATGAATAGCACGTCCTGTGCAATGGTAAAGCAGTGGAGAACAAAAAACTGAAACCATAATCAAGAGAACTTTAATCGCTTAATTATAATTTTCAGTTTTGACTGTATTTTTTTATTTATTAATCAGTTTTGTTTTAGCCTTACTCAAACACATATCTCGCTCCAATTGAATTTTGCTCTTGGTGGAACAGATTTACTGTTCATCTTGAAAGATTTTTTGAGTATATCATCCGTTAAAATTATGCATAAAAGGCGGCGGAAGATACCGAGAGGAGATTCCAAACTTACAGGTTGCAGATAAACTGACAACGCCATGCAAGGTTAAAAACGAAAATCAACGAAAAAACAAATAAGTCCTAAAAGTACTGCATAAAATAAAAGACTGAGCAACACGAACATCACCAAATACCGGCGTGAACGAGTAAGTTTATTGAGAATAATGTATTATATGTATAAGACCAATATGTATTTTGTTTGCGTAATGTCCACTTGCTTGAATATGTAAGCCCGAAATATTTAGTACTGATAGTTACCTTCAAGACTAATTGTTCTAAATAGCGTTTAAATATGTGACAATATTAATTTAAAGGTTTTTTTATTATTTTATGTGCTTTTTACAAATATGACGGCTTATGGTTTTCAAAATTTGCTCTCACAAAATCAATAGAAAAAAAGACATGTATGGAGTAAAGATGTGGCCATTTCGCGTTTTGGCAATTTCCTCATTTGATATGCATTTAAAATAAAACGCAAAAATGCGAAAACACAATGGCGAACGCTAAATGACAGCATCCGACTAATATACACATTGCCTAATGAAAGATAACAAACCAAGAAAACTGCCTCTTCAGATTTACTATGTACATTGGCAAATACACCGATCAGCAAAACAAACAAATTCATATAAATGTAAGAATCCGGTAAGAAGCTGCTTGTTGTAGCCCTGTGTCAAGAAAAAATAAAATGTTTAAGCTTATAAATACAACTACAATGTACGTAATTGAGGTTATTTTTTATTACTTTTTTATATATTGAGCTTAATTAATCACAGGTATTGCAGTTTCTTTAAAATGTATTCACAAGTTATTATTCTAAAAGCAAGAATTTGTACTAGTCAAAGCTTGATATCTGCACTACTTGATATATTGTACAGATACTTGTAAAATATTGTTAACGTTGAAGATCGTGACGATGACATTTTCAAAGCGTGCATATAAATAGACATATACAAAACAAACATACAATATACAAAATAAGAAGATGCGGTATGATTGTCAATTAAACAGCTCTCCAACAAATACCAAATGGCGTAGTAGAAGTTAGCAACTGTGAGTCATCTTTAACAATGAGCAAGACATCTACTGCATTGCAAGCTATCAAAGGCCCCGACATGTCAAATACTCACCACACCGTTAAAATAAAGTGTTTAGTAAATGGTCTGAGTTCGTCAAAATGTAATGTGAAAAGGTTTAAATGTCTTTTATCCAAATTTATCAGTAGGTATTTAAAAACGCGTATATAATTTAAAATGATAATTGAATGCAGAGATAAGAGATAAGATATAGTACTTACCACACCGTTAAGATGAAGTGAATAATCACAGTAACCTAAAATAATGTAAAATTATCATCGACTTATTCATCGTCATATTCATCGTCATATTCATTGTCATCATCATCATCATCATCATCGCCGTCGTCGTCGTAATTATCGTCGTCATCGTTGTCGTCGTCGCCATTATTATCACCATCATCAGTGTATATCAACAATATTTAGTTCGGTTTTAATATATTGATCACAAAATCAATATTCATAACGATAAAAACAAGTTTACTTAAAGGATCGATAAGTTTACCCGTACCGTATCGTATCTAAATTAACGGGCTCGGTAAACAACGTCGCCGTAAAAATTAGTGTTATCCCGTCTGTAACAAGTTTTCTACGGATACAGCAAAACTTTTAAACCAAATCTTTGTATCTATGAAGAATTTGGTAAAGGTTTTAAAACCTTAACTTAACAATTTACCAGTTAAACACAGATTCAGTTCATTGAAATCCATAACGTCAAACACAAAATAATCGTCCCTTTTGTCGTAAATATTTGTGTGGAGTTTCCTGTGTAAAACTTTCTAAATCTAGAAATGAACAGTTATTGCTGTTTATATTTGCTTTATTTAAAGTAAGTTCTTTGAGTAAATTTCGGCAGTATATTTACAAAGTTTTTGATTATTTAACGGAAATATTTTATCAAGATAGCGGTAAGTGTTGTTGAATTTATTTATTTAGACAGGTCTTTGGTCATAAACTATGATTTGTAACAGTACATGAGCGAGACTGCTACTAAACGGGCGCAACTGGTGCCTATAAGAATTCCTACAACCTGTCGATAAACTTTATTGCCGACATGTACATAAATGTTGTCCAGGAAAAAATTGTACAGCTTTAATCATCTCATTTACCTTTGTCATAAGAGAAGAAGACTTAATATGAGTTTAAAGTTTCACGTTATTATATGTCAAAATTTGCAAAAATAAATTAATAAATGCTTTTGAAGATTATTGGTCATACTCAATTGGCCGTGACGGTGGATTTTTGTTTGATTTATGATCATATGCTCATTATTTTAATTTTCGAGCGCATGAAAGAAGGACGAAAGATACCAGAGGGACAGTCAAACTTATAGATCGAAAACATACTGACAACGCCATGGCCAAAAATAAAAAGACAAAACAGACAAATAATAGTACAGATGACACAACATAGAAAACTAAAGACTAAGCAACACGAACCCCATCAAAAACTGGGGGTGATCTCAGGTGCTCCAGAAGGGTAAGCAGATCCTGCTCCACATGTGGCACCCGTCGTGTTGCTTATGTTATTACAAATCCGGTAAATAGTCTAATTCGGTAGGTCACATTCGTGAAAAGGGAAGGGTATTGTAGTTACGACATAAGGAACATATCCGATATCATCTGTGAAACGGTTATTCCATAACGGTCAACCAACTCGTGATGTCGTCCGTAAAATTTACGAAGGGATGATTTCAACTTCACCATTTGGAACTCCTGGTTTAATAGATTCCTTGTGAGAAGCAATCCTCTATAAAGGAAATCATGATACGAAATACAAGCCCGGGAATATCGTATCAATTGGGAGATATATACTCCGCATACAGGCGGTGCTGGAATGTTGCTAAATAGAAATGAGCTATGATGTGTCAGTGTTTTGTGTAAAATATTTTTTTCGGCCGTAATTAACAAGGAAAATGTTTTTGTTTTGAATGAGAAACATCCTTTCTTGTTTTAATTTCCATCTTAAAGGCAGTGTTTTCAATTTAAACTGTAATTTAGACACCGTCAATAATACATTGAATTTACATTGACATACCTATAAACAAAAACAATCAAAACACATATTAATATAATATATATATATATAAATATTACCTTCAACACAATTTTAGACGACTCCATTGTGATGTAGTCATTTAGATTTAGGTATTCTCAGAACCCTTTAATAAAATAAGTTATAGTGAAGTAATCCTTGTCATATGATGAAGAAATAAACAATTTACAAAATTATACAGAAATAAGTATGATATGCTGTCTCTTCTTCAAGTGCAAATTCATATTTCCCTTAAATATAAACGGAAGAAATCAATTAGCTTGAACATGTGTTGCAATGTATTTTTTATACTATTTAGATTGAGGCCAAAACATTTGAAAAAAGGAAAATGAGTTTTATGTAAATAACAAATGTAACATTTGTTTGTGATGATCGCGTATTCGTTTCTCCATTCTATACTAGGGAGCATAACATAGTACAAGGTATAGTAACATGCCTATAATGAAATAATATAAAACGACTGCTATTCATTTGAATAGGATGTTCTTGTTCAAATTCTAACCCTCTATAGCTTCTGGGGGCTGCGCTCCCTAAACCCTCGGTAATAACAGAGATCAAGCTATTCAGCTGATGTTCCTTAATTATTTGTTTTTATTTCAATTAAAGGTCAGTGTGAGAAGAGCATTCAAACGACGGTAGGTAAAGAGTTCATCAATTCAAAAAGAGGAAGTCCATAAAAACTGACAAAATCAAACGCTCTCAATTAATGGAAGAGTTAAACACAACTGCCATATTCCTGACTTGGTACAGGACTTTTCCGAAGAAAATGGCAGGTTCAACTTAACAGCTTCCAT